TCTGGAAACATGTTTTGTATTAAATTTCAGGTATTGTTGAAAGTTTTTAGCTTTTTTCCTTGTTGAAATACAGCTATTTAGTGGTCGAAAACAGACATCTTTTAGGCGGCGTATTTTCCACTCCATACCTACATGGCGGCGATCATGAGTGGCTTCAAAGATGGCGGCCAAGTTATCGTTCCAGTTCTCTTATAGAGTTCACTGAGACTGCTGGACATCTAAAGCCAGTTTTCCACTTCAAGCGTATCGTACCGAAACGTATCAAAAAGTTTTTAAATTTCAAAATTTCGTCAATGTTGATTGGTTTGTACTTCCGTAGTACGCCAAAAAGTTGACTTATTATTTTGATACGCGAATACACCCGGAAGTACGTGGATTTATAAACCTCTGCGCATGCTCACCAGTACGTTTCGCTACGATACGGGCGAAGTGGAAAACCGGCTTAATCCTTTCAGTTGATTAACGTGGTGTGTTGAATGATTAGTTAATGACATTTTAGATATAATCGTGTGGGAATGTGAGAGAGATTAGTGAGATATCGAACCGTGATCGTGAGTGAACCTGTGAATTCAAGCGTTATTATAAATATATAAATCAAAATCGTTTCGTCGTGTTTGTTGTTGTTCAAAACCTATTAGTAAGGGTACAATTTACTAAAACAGGTATATTCTAAGTTTTGAAGGATTTGTAAGAAACGTTTGAGGGAACTCACTGTGTGTAAACACAGACTCGCAGAGTCAGTTCCCTCAAAATTTTCTTACAAATCCATCGAAATTGCTACTGTGATCACAGAAACTTTGTAATCCAGTCTTCGGTAAGGATTAGCGAACCTCACTTGAGAATATTTCCAGTCAAATTTAACTCTTCTAAAATACAGGTATGCTTACGTGAGATTTCCATCATGAGTGGAATTTTCGTTGGACCCTTACATAAACCACAAATTAGGTCAAAAGTTTCTTTTAAAACATTTCCATCCTGGACCGTAGCAATAAATTGCATCAACGAGGCGATATCTTGTGGTTTAACCTTCTGTTTTAAGTAGTAATTGATCATTCCTTTAAACAAACGAAATACAAGGTTAGTTTAAACCCGCGGTACTAGTTGCAGTCTATGCAGGGTTTTAGTATAATCGCCACGAGGAGAAACTGTAATCATACATATACGGTATTACAGGAACCAAACCGAAAACCGTCTAAAAAAAACCGAAAAAACCCGGGTTTTATAACTGATGTCAAAATATACTACAGTTAGATTAAATTTCACGCTACACGTTCAAGACTTTAGTTTTAAAAATAATTACATTAATGGTATAGTACTGCCTTAATATGTAAGCGGTATATAAGCCATCGTTTATAGGTGCGCTATTTTCTCAGTTTGAAAGTTGGAAGTTTCGTCAGAAAACGTTGAACTATCGCCTTGGTTTTGACAGGGTGCCATTTTGTTTCAATATTACTGATTTTCAAACATTTTTTTCCTAATTTCCCCCCGTTTTTTTTTGCCTAGCACAACATCGGTTGAATCGGTTTTCACCGCCTCACCCTATGTAAAAGGTCACAGAGGTAAAAGGCACGTACTGTACACCAGAGAAGTTCAGATTTCACTTCCACGACCACTGCCGTTCACGCATTTGATTGGCTAATTGCGTAGATTAAACGCATCTGATTGGTTATAATGGTAGTGGAAGTCAAAATTTGAACCTCTGAAGAGAATTTACAAGACATTCAACAGTTTTCCTAGTTTTGTCCCTGTTGTTTACACATTTTCTGCATGTCTTGGTACCATAAACTTGGTAACATAAAATTTTGTTGTCCGGTCTTTTTTGCATGCTATTTGAACAGTCCTAAATTTAAATGAAAACTGCGTATGTAATCTGATCGATCAACAGGAATAAAATTCATCGGCATTTAGTGGTTCTTTTCTCGGTAAATAGCCCAATGCCGACCGTTATAATCCACACTGAAGACCTGTTTACATTGGCAATTCTCGTTGCGATTTTCTTCTTCCGATGGATGTAAACGAGTGGATGAGTTATGAATGTTGAGATGACGACTGACGGTGATAAATATACTCAGAACATTCACAATACACCCTTTCGATAATAACGTTACACGTACTTTTTGGTCTTGAAGCCTCGCTCTCATTAGTAAATTACGCAAGGTGATTGGCTCACGATTTATGAGAGCGAGGCACCCAGGCCAAATGACATAATTACCGAAAGGGTGTATTCATCTACTGGTTCACATGAATCAGAAAAAAATCGCACCAGAAATGCCAGCAAAAATTGCAAGTGTAAACAGACCTTCAGTGTTAATCTTTAATTGTACTCACGATCACATTTTTAACGAGGTTCAGACTTGATTTCCGCAACCGCTATCATTATGGACTATTAACCAATCAGATGCGTTTGATATATCCGATTAACCAATCAGATGCGTTTGACATATCCGATTAACCAATCAGATGCGTTTGATATATCAGATTAACCAATCAGATGCGTTTTATATATTCGATTAACCAATCAGATGCGTTTGATATATTCGATTAACCAATCAGATGTGTTTGATATATCCGATTAACCAATCAGATGCGTTTGCCGTTTGATATATCAGATTAACCAATCAGATGCGTTTGATAATTTGATATATCCGATTAACTAATCAGATGTGTACTAAGTCAGTAAGAGGTAGCGGAAGTCAAATCTGAACCTCTCTGCTATCTAAACAAATGCAATTTTATTTATAACGTATCAATAGTACGCACACAAAGCTTACCAAATAACGATCCTCGGATTATCTTCGCTCCGCTTTCGTCAATTTCCGACGTCTGAAGGTCTCTCGTCGTAGTAACATCGCTGATATAATACGTTCTTATGACATCCAAAATAAATTCAGTGCCAAAGTGAGTTCTAAAATATGTCGGATTGTCCTTTATCAATGTCGATAGATACTGTATGTGACCGATCCTGATCGCAAACTCACATCTAGACCATATTGAAAAGTTGAACAAAATGTACTGAAATATACATGGCATTAGAACCTCATTAGAATGCTGAAGTGTTTCAATTAGTCTCTGAATAGACATTAAAACAGGAACATCTATAAGTCGTCCATCGATTTTTGATAAGACCACACCAAGAGTAGCCAATTCCCTTGACCTCAAGAACGAGTCCCGAAGCAGCGTGCTGCCTTTGAGAATATTTTGAAGCAAACTTAGAATGATCGTCACTCCATTTTTCACCTGCGCTGCTTCGTCAGCGAGTTGTCGTGTTTTAGTTAAGGGGTCAGCCTGCGGTTTTGCTTGTTGGTCTTCGACCATCACCCATTGATCCACTATAGGGCTTTCAGTTTTAACCTCGTCCTTCAGTTCGCTACAAAATTTTAGAATAAACGTTTGATGAATAAAGGGGCACCGAATGGTTTTTCGTGCAGGAGAGTATCATCCATGCACGCGGGATATTGCGAGACTTTCGGAAAGCATAAAATAAAATTGCGTGTTTCACTGTAGTTATACTGTAATAAGTTATGCTGGAGGTGTTACTTCATCCTCAGATTCAGTAGTTTTCGGATAGAGCCGCCGAAAGGTTGAACGGGGCTCGGGGTAAAACGGTATTGTAAAACAGGAGAAGCCGCGGTGTTTCACAGTATAGTGCACTTTTATTGCATATTATACGGCACCGACGTAGCTAGGATTTATATCCACGATTAAGCAATCTTGTGTGAAGAAAATCTAACGAACGCCGTTGCTTTGGGGGCCGCTTTTGAGCTGGATCCCCACCCCCCTTCTCGGCGGCACTGCTTTTTGGCGTCTACAGTAGCTCCCCAAATCACGTTGTTTCAGCTTTAATTTCTAGTTTATACAGTTAGCTACCATTTTAATTGCATGTGCCGGTTGAAATGGTAAATATTTAACAATTATTCGCCGAAGGCGAAGTGATTACCGGTGAATATTCACCGAGACGAAGTCGAGGTGAATATTCACCGTAATCACTGAGCCTGAGGCGAATAATTGTTTTAGTATAAATTTTTAATGAATAAAACAAAATATCCAAGTTATCCAACTATAAGTTTAATTAAAATTAAGAAATAAAACTGTTTTCGACCGGTTTACGGTTTAGTGTTGCAGTGTTTCTTGTACACGCACGCTTTCAAAATGGCTTCCTGTGCGACTTTATTGCTTTATTACAAAGTTATTTTTCTCGATTTCTGCTTAGAATATAAACACAATGATGGAATGACTTTTTTACCAGACTTAGAATTAAAAAATAGTTTCTGTTTAGCATTAATTTGTTCAGGAAATGGCTGAGAAATTTGGTAAAATGAAATGTAAAACTATATCGTTCGAATTAATATAAAAGTTTTAATACACTTTTCACTTTACAAGTTTTAAAAACACAAATAGTACAATACAGCGAAAGGACACCATACAGCACAATGAAAACACGACATAGTCAAAAGAAATAGTATCGTACAAATTGAGATATTTATAGGATACAAAACAAAATTGTTTTAAAAAGAATATCACGGCTTTTCCCAAAAGTCGGGATATTTTTTGCTATTTCAGATTTACGTTTGAAGCGAATGTTTCGGAGTTTTAAATAAGTTTTAAATTGTCCATAAATATGTTTGACACAGTAATATAATACTAAATCCTACCTTTCAAGTTAAATACAACATTTTGTGCTTTTTTTCTTTTTCTGGGACGATTTTTTCAATACTTTGTCGATTTTGAAACCAAATTTGCCGAATCATTCTTTTTGAAAAGCATTATTTACTACCCAGGTGGTAAATAATGCCTCAGATTTACTAGTCAACTAGCCAATCAGAACGCGCGAAAGCTCATTTGATATGCAAAATTTATACTAATGTCATTTAACATGAGGTACAAACAAACCTTGCGGGATTTTTCTCAATCTTGACTTTCACGACCTTTTCTTCTTCTTCTGTTATTTCACAACTTTTGCTTTCGTCGTACTCAACTTGCTCCAACAACGGTAAGAAGACTTCCATTCCTCCCATGCTATTGATAACATTCTGTGAAATGAAAAATACTTTATCAAACAATAGGAAGGGACTGACATTTGGTCGTAAAATCCATCTTTGACTTCACTTTTTGGACGTGAGTCCTCAAATTCTTACCATTCTTATTTCTCATATATAAAGCATGGCCGGATTTTGAGGGGAGGTGTGGGGAAGTGTGCACCTCCCTTGAGATCGTTTTGCACCTCCCCTGAGAATTTTTGCACTTCCCCTAAAAAGCCATGCACCTCCCCTTGGGAAAGTTTCAATGATAGATTAAAGTGAACATTTGACTTTTTTGGTTGTTTAGGGTCTGCCTTCGTAAGAACGTTTTTCTGTAAAATTGGAACAGGGATAGTCATTCATCTCTGTGTCAAATACCCTTTTAGTGCAATGTTTTGAAAGAAATTTTGTAGCAATTGTAATGAAATGCAAAATTAGATGAGTCGTACAGTCATAATTCATTAATACACTTATACATATGTACACTACATGAATACGCCACGTCGTTGACTTTGGCCCGTTCTACAGTAAGCCCTAACTTTCCATGAAGGTCGTGAGCTAAACTGCTGCACCTCCCCTAAATTTGTTCCCACTATTTCCAGCAGTTTCCACTGTTTTCACCAATTTCTGGCCTTGATATGAAGAGCTCACTGTTACAGGTTTACAAGACTGACCTTAATATCCCAGCTGGAACATACTTCCCCTGTAAAGCTGTGAAGAGGAAAAATGTGTCAGTTCAATGGGAATAAATTTTGGTGTAAAAATATGGTTAACAAACGGGCAAGTCCTGCCAGAGGGCCTATACTGTAGTTGTATGCTCCACAACAGCTCTTGATTAGGTTTGAAAATTGTGCATAATCTTCATTTAGTAATTTCCATTCAAAAACCTTCGATCAACTGTTAGTTGTAATGAGCGAAATGCCCTAAATCATGATATTTAACAGAACGTATACTGGCAACACCCACTATTTCTATATACAAGAACTTGTGCTTAACTGAAATTCTGTAACTCAGTTGGTTAGAGCGCTGCACCGGAGCCTCAGAGGAGCACGTTCGATTCCTGCCAGAGGGGCCAACAGTTGCATTTTCCGTAGCTGCTCCTGGTTAAGCTCGAGTAATACCAGCAACAAAATTGCTGCAACTTGCAACAAAATCTGATCTCTACGCATGTTAATAGAAAATGTTTATACACATAAATTACAAATCACGAAGCAACATGTGTCGACATTTCTACTTAACATGCGTTGAAATCAGATTTTGTTGCAAGTTGCAGCAATTATTATAAATACAGCCGTATTACTACTCCATTGTATATGTATGAAAATTGTATATATCTTCCGCTCGGAATTTCATCTACAAAAACCCTACGATTAACAAAACGTACCGTCCATCAATTCTGTTGCCTCCTAAATGACTTGGTGTTAAATCAATGCACTTGTTGTTTTTACATGCCTGCATGAAGATATAAAGATAATTACAATTCTAATTCAGTTTGTAAGTTCTGTATTTGACGGAGTCACAATTATTATGTTAATAGAATTTGTTTTTCTTACACAAAATATTCTGAATGTTTTGCACGATTAAATAAACATAGGTCAGCACCTTGGCGTTATAATACAAGACCAGTTTGCCAGAGAGTTCTGCAAGTACAGAGTTGCTCTCTTCTTCATTTGAACCTTGGGGCTGAAACAGGGAGACACAGCTAGGACCTACGATAAAAATAGGATATCAAATACTGTACCATATACGATATACAATATATACCATAACATACCATACCAAACCACGTCGAACTATACATTATCATATCATATCACACCACTGACACCACGCTATACTATGCTATATTATATAATACCTTATTGAATTCTGATCGTTTAATTGGCTGTTTATGGTCACGTGATACTGAATAGTATAGTACTATACAAAACCACGGTTAATATTAACCGTGACAAAACGTATAGTACAATTGCACTCTTTGTGTTTTCGATAAATCACATCCCTCAAAATGCTTCTCATACAAATCTATTAGTCCACTCTGGTATTATATAAAACAAATAATGAATGTTTTTTCGTGCGACGGTAAGAATATTTTCATTCGGTGAAAGATGGAATGTTCCATTCAACTCGGCTGTCGCCTCGTTGAATGGAACATTCCATCTTTCACCTCATGAAAATATTCTTACCATTGCATTCATAAACATTCATTATTTGTATACTATACCATACTACACCATATTATACTACACCACATTATACCATATCTATTATACCGTACCACATCACACCAAACCGAACCATTCCATACCATACTGTACAATGCCATCTCCCACCAAAGCATAAATAACAAAACATACATACCAGAGTACCATACCATGCACCACCATGCCATATACAACACCAATCGTACAGTAATACACCACACCATATCAGACCACACAAAACCACATCATGCCATACAATACCACACCGCAACACACTAAACCACACCAAACCACACAAAATCACGCCATACCATTATGTGAAAACCTACCTATAGAATTCAAAACATAACCATGCTGTTCATGTATGGCTTCATTGAATACGCAAACAGGACCAAGCTGCCCCTGAATAGATTCAGGGACCCCCCAGAAATCATCTTGGTGTCCAGCAGGCACGTGGGTCGGAAATTTTGTGACGGTTTGCGACGCAGTTGTTGGGTTGACACGAGATTCCTTGAAATGACCTTTCAAAAATGACGTGATTTGACTCGGGAAATGCCCACGTGGTGCTGCAGTTATGTCATGCGCAGACGAAATAGTCTGAGGTCCTCCACAACCGATGTTACATGAAGTAAAAGGCTAGAAAAATATGTGGATAAATATCAGGATTTGGGGCATCTCGCAGAACTAACGCTGTTGAAGGTGGAAATTTGGAGTAAAAGCTATAAATATTTCTTCTACACCAAGGCCTAACCAGGAAAATTTCCGAAAAATGCAACTAAATAGACCCATAGTTACATTTTTCGCAACTTCTCTAGAAATGTAAATTTAAATTGGCTTTCTCACTGCCGATTTTCCCGCCATTTTTGGGTACTGCCTCTATCACGCTTGAGAGTCTCGGCACCACGAAATACAACTTTTGAGTATTGTTGTTGTTTTTAAAGTTACAACTTTTAAAAGTCGCTTTTCACGTTGTTTGAATTGTCTAACGAGGGCAGACGCCCCCAAAAATGGAGATTTTGGCCTTTGTGAGAAAGGCTAGGTCACTCGAAAATCGAAATTTCTATCTTCAGAAAAAGCTCTTAAATAGAATGTCCATATTGTTTAAGTCCCCCTCTCAAAAAAACCCTACCCATTTAAAGTAGCCCCCACAGGTCCCCTCCCTCTTCACAACAAAGAAACACGTAGCATGTGCGCCCGGGTTGAAATGATACGATATGAAGCATTTTCACTATTTGACTTGTGCGAGACTGTGGTTACATATACAGTTGAAACAAACACGCAAAACAAAGCTACTAATTAAACAATTTTTAAAATTATTTGCGATTACATGCTGCCCATATAGAAATTATAGTAACAGTTCACGGTTGTCAACTGTGAAACCCTACAGTAGCTCTGGTTTCATTCGGTGTCGGGATTTTCCGATGCGAGAACGCGGTTTTTAACCAAAGTGAGGAACGCGTTTCCAAGTTTCCTCCTGAACGCGTTCGGAACGCATTTTGGAACGAGAACGCAGTGTTTGGGTATTTCTGAGCAGTTATAGACTTATTTATTGTCCTGAATAAAAATATAAGCAAAACTTCAAAATGCCTTCGCTCGAAACGTCGAAGTTTTGATTATATTCCCCAAGTAGTTGTATCTTTCTCAATCAGGAGCACTCCAGGGGTCGGTCATTCAAAGCTGGATTAATACCGCGAACCTTGGGTTAAAATTTAACACGCTGTTTTGGTTTGTGCATTTCTGCATGTTAGTTTGTTTCGAAACTTTTGAAAATAAAATTTCTGTTAATCCATCATGATTTCTGGGAAAATATCGCCAAGCTTATAAATAAGCAAGCTGTACGGAGTTCAATAAAAAGTTTGCGGGTTAGGGGTGCACCGGAACCAATTTTTTTAAGTTCCGGCCGGAACCGGATCTGGCCGGAACTGGAAAGAACCGCAACTGACTTAAGCCATATATAGTCGACTATATGTTACTTTGTCTGCTGCCAGACAGGCAGACACTTCAAGTAATCAAGGAGAGAGCTCGCAAATGTTAGAATAGTTCTTCCTACTGTGAACTTGATATTCTATCTCTTTGAAAGCGACAGAGTTCCGGTTCCGGCCATGCTCTTCTTATTAGTTCAGGCCGGAACCGGAACTCTAAAAAATCGTGGTTCTGGCCGGAACCGAGTTCCGGTACACCCCTATCGCGGGCACTGTAAGACACGGCCGAAGTATAGAGAAATCATTTTAATATGAGTAAGACAGCACAACAAACAATTTTAAAGCTAAAAATTTAAGGAATATTTTCTGCTGGTTTGAAAGGTAAATAAATATTTTCCCGAAGAAGCAAAGCGTTTTTCCTGCACTATAAATGTACTCAATTTTGCAACCAAATAAATTAAGGAATAAATAATTAGCAATAAAGATACAAACAAACCTCGCACATCGAAGGTAGTTTGAGAGGTACGGCCATTTTAAGTTCGCCATCGATGTAGACAGAAAGGTGGTCTTTTCGAGCTAAAGGTTTGCGAGATTGGCAGTGTACTATCAGCACGGAATGCTAGAATGAAAGAAAGAAATTACCATATATAGCTACAGCATGTCTTGTATGCACAACACATTAGTAAGTTTTTTTACTTCGTATAAAAAGCAGAGTTGTTCCCAGTTATAATTACAATTTCAAAAACTGTTGTTACTGGTTGAAAATTGCCATTGAAAACCTCTGGATTTGATTATATGTCCTAAAGAAGCAAGTCTGACTGTCTGAGTCGTACACCAGTTGGAGATTGATCTCAGGCAGGGGTCGATAATTTTTTAACTTCTTGTAGTCACCACGCTAGCCTTTCAAGCTAGGAGACCAGGGTTCAATGCAGGCTATATGAATATTTTCGTTCTGAACTGTTCCGATGTAATTTAGGTATATGTAGAGTTAGTAGAATAATTTGGTATTCAATCATTTCAATAATCAGGTATTTAGTAAGTTAGATATTCAATCAGTGTAATTTTCAGAATCAGCTATCAAACAAACTAGAAAAATGTCTGAAAAGTTCTGCAAAAATGTAGATGCCCCCCAAAATTCTGGGAACTACAGTAGGTTCCCAGGTTGGTTCCAATCATGTTTCCATCTCTGGCTTAGACCCTCATGCCTACAGGCATGGTGCTTGATTGGCCAAATATCACACAGGTGGTTGTTAATCAGAGGTGTAACTTAACACTTGCCCGGGGCAAGTGAATATCATGACGGGCAAGTACACGTTTTATCTTGCTTGCCCAGTTTGGGCAAGTTGCCTTGCCGCAAAAAAGCTGGGCATCTTTAAGTTAATGTTTTCATTGTCGAATATATTTTTTATACTGCATGTACTTGATTCAATTTTTTTGTGGGCCAAAGCTAGATCTGAGGCAGTATAACATGGCCATACAGAGCAACGGGTCGACATGTTGTCCCTTTAATTTATACCCCCTATCAGGGTACCCCAGTGGCCATTGTCTGATGGCAAGTGAATTTTATCCAGGGCAACTAATTTCCATGTCCAACTTGCCCTGAGGGCAAGTGGTCAAAAAAGTAAAGTTACATGACTGTTAATATACTGGTTCTATTTATTTATTCCATTGCACCTGACAAGAACGAAATATTTCAATCACATGACCTACCCATAAGTCATCCGCCAACACGACATCGACCAGAGGTGCTGTGACGTATTCTTTCCTTGTTACTATAGCAACGACTAAATGTCCGTTTGGTGTGAAGAAGGCCTCGAAACCAGTGCCGCTCGCGGAGAGAAAGCTATATGAGAACAAACAAATGTTCATATCACAGTGGGCATCTCACTCAATATAACTAATAGATTATTCCAGCTGTCGACTAATTTTTGATCTAGACAAGAAAGACAATATCTATCATTATAGCTCAAAAGAGCATCTTAAAATTAGTAAAATTGGAAAGTTTGGTTGCGAAATGTTGTAAAATACGAAAAATATATATACTGTAGCCTTCCAAAGTTTTCAAATTTTGAGTATTTTAGTATTACGCGCGGAAAAAAATGCACCACTTTCGGCTCAAACGTGGTGAACTTTTCTGCGCGTAAAGGCCTGATTCCACGGTTTCCCGATTTCTCGGCGAAATGCGAAATATTTCGCCTGTTTCTTTTGAATTGTGAGCAATCAAGTAGAAATAATTTATTCGAGTAGTCGCAATTCAAAAGAAACAGACGAAATATTTCGCATTTCGCCGAGAAAAAGCGCACGTGGAATCAGGCCTTAATACTAAAATACTCAAAATTTGTTCATTTCACAGGGCTACATTTTTCATACTTAACAACATTTTGCAACCAAATTTGGCAATTATACTAATTTAAGGATGTTCTTTTAAGCTATGATAGATTTCGTCCTTCTTGTCTGGATCAAAGTCATCCATTGTTGAAGGAATTTGTACATGTAGATGGAAATTTCGAGTAAAATTTTATACATTTATCAGACCTGACCAGGAACAGTTGCGAAAAATCAAGCCTGCATTTTAGTTAGGTCTAATAAATGTATAAAAATTCCACTCGAAATCTTCATGTACAAATCATAGGTAGATTTCAGTAAGTGCTACACAGTGCAGCAAATATCCTGCAGGGCAGCAGATATCCCTCATCTCGTAAGCACGACCAGGAATTGCAACTAAAGGTCCAGACACACCGGACGCGATTCGGCAACGCGACGCGATTTTTTAGTTTTTGAAAGTTAATAAAACAGCCAATGAGAGCAAATTTTAAAAGATATTTAGACCAAATAACTCAAAATGTTATAACGTTTCTAAATACAGGCCTTAAAATATTGGTCGGTCACGGACATTGTCCGACCCATTCGTTAAATTGTCCGACGTAGAGAGGAAACCACCGGACATTCTGTCCGACCTAAGTGAAACTGAGGTTTATTGTTTGTCCGACCTAAGTGTATTTGTGTCCTACCTAACTGTAGCTTTGTCCATCGTAAATCAAAATGTACCTATAGCCCAGGACTAGAGGCTTGTATGTTAAATGGAAAATCAGAGTACTATTGTATAAAAAGTGAACTGGAAATGTTTTAACGTAGTCGAGGGCGGGGCGGCGAGCGAAATGGTGAAGTGGAAAACGAGCTGAAGTTGTCGAAGTCTTTTTTAATACTGCTGTTCTGGAAAGCAAGTTAATTTTGTCTTGGAAATAAGTATGAAAGAAACAAATTATTTAATATCTTCACAACATTTACCGTTCAGAATTAATACACTGTGCTGATATTCATTTGTGTCATTCAGAATTATTTCCAAGTCAAAACTGAACTGAAAGTCATCAGACATATGTCCGACCCAAACTCAACGTCATCGGACATTTTGTCAGACGGTCCTGTAAAATATATTTTAAGGCCTGTAAATATTTGGAAAATTTAAATTAGGATCAAAGTTATTGTTCAGTGAAAATCGAAAAATCGCGACGCGTTGTCGAATCGCGTCCGCTGTGTATGGACCTTAAGACAAGCTTTCATCTTACCAGCGCATGCATAGATTGTACATGCTGACGTGTACTGAATATTAATGAGGCGAACTACGGTACTAAATGGTTTCGAGATAAAGTCGGCTAGCTTTATGATTTATTGATAGAATTTTAGCCAGACTTTGGCTTTTTTTACAGACTGGGATTTGTCCCCCCCCCCTTCCGTCCACCGCATTTAAGAAAGGGAAAATATGGCCTGACACTCAGGCTAACAGATGATCTCGAACGGTCTGTATCAGCGTACTGTAGGTAATGATAATAACGCCAGAAAGCTGCCGGATTGCATGAAAATAATTCAACTACCTGAAAAATCAAAACGTAGAAGTTTAACTTGTATTTTTCAAGCAGTTGAATTCTTCTCAATCCACAGATTTCCAGCAGAAGATCTACCTGTATAACTGTCTGCGATAAGGCCAAGAGAAAGAAGGTTGTTCTTCAGATTCAGACTTTACAGGTATCTCGGGATGATCTTCCTCCCTTGAAGACTTGAGAGAGACCCAAGCATGAAATGTGAAGCCAGAACCACCCCACTTCTCAATACTTGGTAATGCAATACCCTAACAACGTAATAAAATTTGTAAAACTCACTACACGTTAATAATTCAATAAGAAAATTAAAAGGAATCAATGTTTGATGAGCTGTGCATCCAAATTATGCAACATTCTCGTACCTTCATTTAACTATTTAAGGCGCTGTTACACTATGCAATTTGTCTCGCAACTTGCCTAGCAATTTTGTTGCGACACAAGTTGCACGCGAAATTGCAAGGTGTATCATGCTTCGCAATCAACAAGTCTCGCAATATTTTTGTTGCAACAACCATTGCACGAAGTAGAATCAGGTTCTACTTTTTGCAATGCTACAAAGCATTGCACAGTGTAACATCCGTCTTGCAACTAGTCTCGCAATGCTTATACACTGAATGGCTTCCTAATGGCTTTTGATTGACAATAGAGCGACAAACGTTAGCACTCGCGGTTTTTGTACTATTTTTAATATTGATCATTGCAAGTTGCGTGGAACATATTGCTTGGTGTAACATCCCTTGCAATGCAATCCTGAAATCGTTTTTTTAACATTGCGAGACAAGTTCCGAGACAAGTTGCTTAGTGTAACAGCTAGTGCCTTTAAGCTTATGAAAAAGCTTTTGGGAAGATTGCTTAGACATTTTTCATTCCTAGGATTAAGCCAACTGGCTTTTGAACAGCTGGCCCTGATCTTTCCATTTTGTGGATTCACACAAGAAACAGAATGAGGCAATCTTATACCCGGCGAGAAATATGGGCGGCATTTCGTAAAAAAATCTTACTACGCGCAGTACGCGTAGTAGCATGTATTAATTAGCATTTATTGTTTTATATTATCCCCAACGCCTGCTGCAAGTTCTTCGTACTCAGCAAAATCTGCTTGCCAAATTTTGTATTCAACATATTTTCTTAGTGTACTAAGTGTATTGGAGAAGTGGCGTGGTAGCATATACTGTACATATAACTTACATTTCAACAGAGACATTTTAATATAATTTTGAACTACCTCTATGTTATAAGAACGAAGTGCAATACTATTCATACTTAAAGTAATAGTTCTACTGTTTCTTGACTAAGTCTAAGGCAGTGGCGTAGTAAGGTAGTAATGCATGTTGTAGCGTAGTAGCGTAGTAAGGTAGTAAGGTAGTAGCGCAGTAAGTGTAGTAAGAGTTGTAAGAGTTGTAAGGTAGTAAGTTAGTAATGTAGTAGCGTAGTGAGCGTAGTAAGCGTAGTAAGGTAGTATGGTAGCAATGTAGTAGTGTAGTAGCGTACATAGTAAGCGTAGTAGCGTAGTAAGCGTAGTAAGTTAAGTTTTTTACTTACACTAGTCTTGTGTCGGAGATCAAAGTACGAAAGCGGTTTAGAGATCCGGTCACCGTACGTTGAGATTTTAATTAAAGATTGAAGCATCCGATCAAAGTCACGTACCTAAAAAATGCACAGCAATTTATCAGGAGTTACTGTGAGGAATTACATTGAAATTGCAGTTGACCAACCTCCAAGTTACAGTACATAACCAACCAAGCTAAACAACCAACCAAGCAACCTACTGTAACTAACAGACCAACCAACCTAACAAACCAAACCAACTAACTACTGTAACCAAATGAACCTAACCAGCCAACCTAACCAACTAACATAACCAACCAACCTAACAAACCAAACCAACCAACCAACAGACTGACTACCTAACTGACCAATAACTTACATTATCGCCATCAACAGAAGGTTTTACTAAGTCCATGAATTCACGGAAATCCTCTGGTTTCATAGAAACACTGCCAAGTACTTCAAGCATAACCAAGAGATTCTCTGAAAAATTATTTTAACTTTTAGCACATTAATTGGAAGATTCTTCATAAAATATGTCAAGCATAAAAGTGGGTAGAAAATACTGCAGCACACCTCGGTGGCTTAGCGCTTACATATAAAGGCAGCACTTATACCATTAATACAATTCTTTTTGAAACTAAAGCCTTGAATGTGTAGCGTGAAGTTTTATCTAACTGTAGTATATTTTGACATAAGTTATAAAAATCGAGGTTTTCCTGGGGTTTTTCCAGACGGTTTTCGGTTTTTACCCTGAACTGCCTCTCATCCTACGTACACATTGGAATGAAAATTGACAACAATCTGGTCCGTGAAGCTTACTATAAAAATCTAAAAATGTGCTAATTCTTAGCAGTACTGTATAGTAACCAACCTCTTGCATCTGGTTGAAGCGGATCATCTTGTTTTAAATGTTTCAGTATACTTGACATCACTCCAGTTTTTGAACACACCATGACGTTGTAAGAGGAATACATCACCATCTTCACTAGAACGTCAGATAGAAATCTACACAAATTAAATTGATTTGCTTTAATTTGTTGGAAAATAATCATGATTTTTTATTTGGCAAAGGGGCTGGTAAGTTTTGCAGTTTGTTGGACTTCGGTTATTAGGTTCAAGTTGTTGCAATTTGGTTAGGGTTGGGAGTTGCATGTGAGTAAGTTTCGAGATTTTATTGTCTGAAACAGCATCAAAATAGCGAGAATCAATCTTTACTACAGCATTAAGCTGCACCTAACCTGGAACCTGCAAAGTTTTTGATCCGTAAGCCCAGATCTTCTGCAAAATAATAATAATGCCTAGTTCAAATTTTTGAGTTTAAAAAATTCTTTCCGTGACAGAACGAAATATTTTCTGCCAATATCCCAATATGTATCTAACAAGACAAGAACGAAAAACAAAACATACTGTAAATGCCATCGACTATGGAATTTTATATCGCCTAATTAATTTATTTACTATACACTGATTAAGTTCTATGGTTAAAGTTAACACCTTCAGTCTTCCAAACCATCCATTTCTCCCTCAGTTTACCTGCTTTGTTTGGTTTCCTTTTGTATTTGTATCTGTTCATTCATTCTACCTTACTCACTACATCCAAACATTTTCTGAGAACTCAAACATTTTCTGAGAACTCAAACATTTTCTGGGACCGTACATGGGATGATGTAATGGGATGATGTAATTGGTACATGGGATGATGTAATTGGCCACCAAGGTGGACCCTTACATACTCGAAGATGACATCATCCCTCAATTTTATAAGAAAGCACACGTTACGACTTCAGATAACCTTAGTTGAAGACACTAGATTGTGGAGTGTTGAAACGCTAGATGGTGAAATAATGTAATCTGTTCGGCCAGACCTCTAGTCAAGACTTTAAAAAATTCAGCTGAGTTTATAATTAAGCAAGATTACAATAAACGGCAATTTATCATATATTTATGGATATATTAAGGTGTTCACCTTTGTAAATCTGATTGGATATAAGGAAGCCAATCGATCAAAATCAATAGAAGGTTTTCGTCTTCAATTTCCAACTCTCCATCTTGAAAGTCCTTGCCAATCATCTGAAGTTGAAAACAAACAAACTATAGATTGTACCAAGGGCGGATCTAGCCTCATCTCCAAGGAGGGGTGCAGGTTTTCCATGGGGTGGTGCACGAGGGAGCCTTACTGTCCACTCTTCTCTGCAGTCTGCAACGCTTCTATCCCAACATTAGCATACTTTGAGATGGCCAATCTGCATGTTCGCCGTTATATTACATACATTTAACATTATCTTTTGTTTAAAGTTTATATCGGCTGTTTATCACATATGCGTGACTGGACAATTGCTGTAGCACATGTGGTAGAGTAAATTTGAAAATATGGCTGTATAACAAACTCGACATGATTACTATAATCACATACTGTACAAAAGTAATATTTTACCAGTCCCAGGTGACTAAATAACAATTACTGGATGCTTAAAATGTTGCCAGTCGATTTATTTAAAATAGTGACAGAAGTATAAATTTAGGCTCATAATGTCCATTGCATATCTGGGTAAAATATTTTAGTTCCCTGCTTGTGACGTAACATGCATATCCACAAAATTAATGTTGTGTTCACTGAGACATATATATACATACTGTACAATTCTATTTTGACAAATCTATTCTGACAGACGTCACAATTCTTGGTACTTACAGCTGTAAGCTTAGTTACTGTACATCTGAAATCCTCTTCCAACAAGTTGTGCTTGTACTGTATATTTATTTTTGGCGTACTTGATCATTTATACCCGATAAAGGATTCACAATATAACACTTACCCACTTTAGCAATCCAAAAATGACATCTTTCGAGGGTGAATGCCACTTTAACAAACACTCCTTGGTTGTTTTGTAGCCATTTGAAGCTTCAAAAACTTCCTAGACAATAAATGTTCCAAACACCATTCTTCTGAGACACCGCACCGCACTTAATAATACTACTCTAACAACAGGGTGTATAAACAAACACGCACACCGCAAAATTTGTAAAAACTGTAACCGTTGTAACTGTCATACTCTCATTATAATCCACCCGTTGAAGACTGCAATCTGGCAGTCGAAAGTGCGTACCAAATTAATATTTAAAAACCAGAGAACGTCTAAATTTTAAAAAACTTTAAATTTCTGTAAAGAGTTTGTTAAATTAATCATGCATAAAATCATACGTGTGAGAAGTTTGCTTTCCATGAATTTTTTTCTTTTGTTTTTCATTGCGCAAATTTTTCTTGTATTTTTCCCCATCCCTCCCAATTACTTTCCTAATGTCAAATGATGTACATACTGTACGTTTTAAGTACAGTACGGTGTACTGATGTAATTTATTGCAGGTCCCCACTGAAGAACACTACGGTGACGTGGATATCCTGGCTAAATACAAAGGCAATAATAATAATAAATGGCCTGCCCCTAATTAAACCATTCTGCCTAGAGGTCCAGCTATTGGAGGAAACCAGATAATCCCAGGGCGCAAAATAACGGCCGATCAACGGACAATGTCCGGCCAGAATGCCGAGTTGTCCAGTCAAATTCTTACCTTGCCGGTCAGTTTGAGTTTGACCGGCCACTTTCGGTGAAAGAACAAACTAATCTTCATTTTAATTAATAATCAAAATAAAGTTGTCAAGTATTATAGCAACATGTTGTCGAATATTTTGCGGGAAAAGAACTTCAATGTACACCAGCTTTCCCACACCGTACTTCACAAAGCCCATGGCCATGTCTTTGGCTTAAGGCTATGCTTTTAGCGCAGTGCAAGCTGTTTTAGTGCAGTGCAAGCTGTTTTGTGTTCTCAATTACTGATTACAGTAAGGCTTTTTTAATGCTATACTGTGAAAATAGTCACATTTTTAGGGGTGTACTTTACTAGGCTTTGCTTTAAGCTGAATAATTTGACCGGCCAGACATTCGGCATGTCTGAGCTAAAATTGAGTTGGCCGGTCACCTTGACTGGCGACCCTCCAGCCGTTATTTCGCGCCCTGAATCCGGATATGATATGTGGTATTTGGTAATTAGTCAAACTGGAATCACTCTTCTCACGTGGTAATGTACCAGCTGACTGTGAAAAGGTTGTTTCACACTTGGAGAAATTCTGAATATGATCTATGGTCCCTGGGGAAGTGGGAATGAGGTTACACACTAACCAAGTTCGGTGCCCCATTGAACAGAATATATTTGGTACTTGTACAGTACCTTAGCTGCACTTGATGAGTGAATAAGAGTTTGAAGTGCTCGGATGGAACTGTACAGAAGTTGATTCCAAGTATTAATATTTTCATCCTAAAATAATAACAATACTTCTTTATTATCAAAACTTTTTCAAGGATTATTTACATTTTCATAAATAAATGAAATAAACAAACAACCCAACATTCCATTGCAACAGTACTACAACACAGACAATTTTAAGTTACAAAGACCACAAGTTGAATATTATTCAGTATCTCTCTCCTCCGCAGAGGCTTTAGTTTTCTTAGGATTTAATATTACGGATGAGATACATTTCACTACACTTTACATCATGGCGGATCTTGGAACACGAGCGTAGCCGCTGGGCGAAGGAGCACAGGCGGAGAAGGAAAAAGGCGAGGGAAGGCGCGAATTCAGTATACTAACCTCAGAATCAACATTGGAAACCAGTTGTAAATTAGATAAAATTGTCTTAAAGCAGCTCAAACCAAGAAATACAGCCTAAAATAAACAAATTAGAATAATCTGTAACTTACCATACCCCGCCATCATATGCCTAATGTACTGTACTGTATATATAACACAATTGCAGAAGTTAGGGAGCCATGGAGTTTAATGAAGACTAATTCGGGCTAAACTACATGTAGCTATTGAGCCAAATCCAAAAGCTATTGGCACAGGATCTGCCTGAGTCATAACACCAGTTGGAGTTTAATTTCAGGATCAATTGCTATTCCTGGGCTACTCGTTTTGGTTCGGTCAGGTCTCTAGACTCCATACTGTACCTACCCAGGGCTTTCATATAAACTTTTTAAGTAAGCAATTGTGATGAGAACAGTTGTCCTCAATGCAAGAATGTTTTACTAATGAAATAACTTTTGTACTAGAAGTGCTGTGATGCTGTCATCTGTTTCTTTTACTTTTTGCTTGATCAATAAGCTGGACAAGCTAAGCTTACTGAGTGTACTGTAGTTGCACTGGTAATAAATTCTTCTTCAGAAGCTATCAAATTAGAATTTGAAAGAGCTGCAAAGACATTTCTTGCCATTCCTTTGGCAGTGGTTAAAAGCAATATAGATGCACATACACAACCTCGTGCCCAGGGCATTTTGCTTCTGATCAGCGAAAATGGCCCTGGCATCGGCCGGTCACATGACCTCAAAATCTCCAGTATTTGGGGTGTTCAATTATGATAATATATGTGTATAAGTACGTATATATAATACTTATACACACTGTAATTACTGATAGGAGTAAACAAACTCAATGCTGCGTATATAATCAAAGGGAAAGCAACAAAATTAGTTGAATTTATTCGGTTTTCGTTGTTCACATTTCATTCAGCAACATAGCCCGTAATATTGATGATTTTTAAACATAACGTAATAAGTAACTAAACAAAACAAAACCGCTTCAGCGTTTGGTTTATATAAATCGTATTTAATATAACCAAAATATATTTGTATCACAATCTTTATTTGACTATAACGCTGTATGTTTCTTCGGAAATCAACGATGTGTAAACAACGCAGGTGAGAAATATATGTTGAACCGAAGCAAATACTCGTCTATACAAAATATACAAAGACTTAATTTGGACCAAATTGATGTGTTGTCTTTCCCTAATTCATGCTGTATCTCAAGCGAAATGTCAAAAATCTTATTTGCTCAATACTTTAGTCCATCAAGAACTAATTATAAATTTGTCACTCCACTCTCGTTCCACCAAAAATAATAATTATTCCCACATATATTGAATAATTACATTCAAAATCATTGACCAATCAGGTTGCAAAACAGACCAGCCGAAGCCAGGGCCTTTTTCGCTAACCATCCAACCGCGGAAGCAAAAAGCCCTGGGTACGAGGTTGGCACATACAGTATCTTTTGAAGAGAGTAGCCAGTGACAGTGCTAAACCTCAGAACACCTGCCAGAGCTTTGGTACTGGCTTACTTTGAAAGATCTTATTTTAGTTGTCAAGGGGAGAGCGCTGGTGCTCAATGGGTTATAATAAGTTATATACAGGTACCGGTACTTCCAACGAATATACTACTCAATGTTTCATCTCTGAGTTACAGTGTTACATACAGTACAATTAGTCTATTTACCTGGAGAGCTGGCTTGTCCTTGCAATCCAACATCTGACATATTGCATCTAAAATTTTGTTTATGATCAAAAAATTAATACCGACGAAATATAATAAACTTATTTTTGAAAATTTTGATTAGTGTACTGTATCTTATAACATACCCAGTAAGTGTGTTTTTAAAATGATTGCTTCCTTATTCGGTTTCTCTATCCTGCAAGCATAACAAAATATATTTCATCATGTATAAATTCTTCACAGTATTTATATCTTTGAAATGATAATATCACAAAATTATTAATTGACCAATCATGACTTACTGTTGTTCAAAAAGTTGAAAATATTGTAACAGAACAGTTGGTAAATCGACACCAGAACCCTAAATGAAAATTAATACAGTACTATATGTACAGTGTACATTAATTAATAAAGAAACTAAATACATACAGCGAATGAAAACATTGCACCTTGTGGTGCCACACAATAGAGTGTTTCATTATTTTACTTTATATAATACCTTATTGAATTCTGATCATTTAATTGGCTGTTTATGGTCACATGAAATTGAATAATTGACCATTTCCCAAGAGTGCAATGGAATACATTCCATTGCACTCTTGCGAGTGCAACTGTACTATATGTTTTATTCCATTGCACTCTTTGTGTTTTCGATAAATCGCATCCGTCAAAATGCTTCTCGTACGGTGATCGCAGTTTATTTTAACCCGATATTCGAAACTCAGTAAATGGGATTTAATGCAAATACGACTCGTCAAAATGGCGGGAGCTTACAGTAAACCTTTTCAATATTAGTCTATTTTGGTATTATATAAAACAAATAATGAATGTTTTTATTCGTGCAATGGTAAGAATATTTTCATTCGTTGAAAGATGGAATGTTCCATTCAACTCGGCTGTCCCCTCGTTGAATGGAACATTCCATCTTTCACCTCATGAAAATATTCTTACCATTGCACTCATAAACATTCATTATTTGTATACTGTCTAATGCCAGACAATTTTACTTGTCAAGGGGAGAGTGCTGCTGCTCAATGGGTTAATGAACTATAAGGTGGCAGGCTGGGACATTTATTAGTAAACCAGCCATATCGTTTTAAAGGCCAGTTTGCACTATCAGAGTTTCTGTGATCACAGTAGAAATTTTGCATCTACCTGCATTAGGAATTTGGCATCTACCTAAATTATAAAGGATTTCTAAGAAATATTTGAGGAAACAGACAAATACACTACTGTATGCATGTGTTTAACACGGTTTCCGAAGCCACCCCAGCCAATGAGACCAACATGAATATTTCCATATTGCTTCTGACTTCTGAGTGATCTCATGTCAATTCAACAACATTTGTACCCTCCTGCCAGAGATCTCTGGCATGGTAAACATGGAATGCATTCGTAGTCTATCGGACCTATAGTCAGCAGCCAATCAACTCTTTGATTTCCTTCCAATTTTGAAAGTTATGTGTGGAATGTGAACCCGAAAAACCTTGCCAATTTCACCAGAGGGTTATTCAAAACAGGCAAAAATAAGTACCCTCTGGCTCCAGGGTATGCACCCAGATGCACCCCACTTTTAATTATTATTTTACTCTAACGCCAGATGATTTTACTCATCAGGGAAGAGTGTTACAGCCACTTAATGGGTTAATCAGACTATCTGCCCATGCACCATGTTAATCCTTCAAGTGCATGGCAATGCGCCCAGATGCACCCCACTTTATTATTTTACTCTGTCTAATGCCAGACGATTTTACTCGTCAGGAAGAGAGTGCTGCCACTCAATGGGTTAATAAAAGACAGGGCTTTTAATTAGATTCAGTCTGGTTAACCCATTAATGCCCAATACTTTTCTCCTGACAAATAAAATCATTTGACATTAATGAGTGGTGGGTAGCCTGCTTTGCAGGTGCTAGCTAGCTAGTGAGCTTGGTTAATTAAGGTAGGATTTTCAATTATCTCATCTGTACCTGGTTGACATAATTGGGATTTAAATGCAGCACATGTACAATCTTGACAAGACACTGTAGAGTAATGTCGACATCATTCTCAATTGATGTTGATTTCAATAGGATATCAAATATTCCTTCAATTGCTTGGGCTGTGATTGCAGATAACAAATTTTCCTATAATTCAAAAATAAGCAAAGGTGTTTCAAGTCAAAGCACTCTGGTGCAGGGCAAATAAAATAGTTTTGTGTTAAACAAATTTAATTCGTTTTGCAGGGTGTTAGCTACAGTAAAAAATTCGGTGTTATATACCATTTTCACAATTATGTTTAGCCATTACTGTATATATATACAACTATTACTGTATATATATATATTTCTATAAAAGATTGTTCAACTTCAAAACTTTGCTCAAGAAAAATTAGGTACTGTACCACTGATAAGTGTTGTGAGGATGTCATGTAGCCCAAATATATATGTTTGTCTGTTTTTAGCATGCAAAAAAATTCAGGTGACTTGGATTTCAAAAGTTTCAATTTAGCTCAGCCAGCACTAGGCCAGGAATGAAAAAACTTATTTGAAAGACATTAATTAGGTCATTATTTTAAAATAAGAACATCTCCTTACAGAATAATTATAAAACATCTTGTTACAGACATCCCCCTAGAGACAGTTAGCAGGGGGCGGGGTGCATACCACCTTTTTTGAAGAATATGGTCACCGTGCCTCTATAATACGGACAATTTGCTGGGCAAGGCTCATCGAGACGTTTCACAAGCTACATCTTGCCTTCGGCTCGAGTTTGTATATCTGATGCAACACGCCCGCTCATTCTTCATCTATTACTTAAACAGTATGAAAGCCCAGATCTTACATATATGAACAATATCTGGCCAGATATCTTTTAACTACCCGGCACATCTGATATCTGGCCAGATAGCAAAAAGCTCCAACCGGTGGCTACAACAGGTGCATCCCTGTATATATATACTGTACATCTAATTCATGTATACATATATTGACAGAGAAATAAAAATATACATGTATACATATAATTTAATTCAAGACACTTGAAAATAATGAAAGAACTTGATGTCTTGAGCAAGGATCAAGTTACAAAACTAAGCCTCTACCTACACTGGACCTTAACATCTGAAAATGATATTTCAACTAAATCTTTTAATGACTTCTGAAGCCTTCAAATATTAAAAGACGCATTAAAGGCTTTGGAAATGGTTTATGGGCGAAAGATTTCGAACAATGATAAAATACTTTTCAATGAAATGCAACAGAACAGTCAGAAGTAATTTCTTATGAGAAAATACGACAAAAATATTGCACGAGAGATAATTAAAACAGGTACGTATATAAATGAAAATCTAATTCTGTTATATAAAAAAATGTCATTCAAATTTATATATTTGCATTATTAACTACATTTGATTAACAAACTTACAAATCTAAGTTAAAACCGCCTTAATACTTTTTGGCAACAATTCAAATGGTCACTTCAGCATTATTTGGAAAATATAGATAGAATTTTATGTACTAAAGTTATGTAAATGCACAGAAATACAGAATTATTTCAATAATTCAATATTAAGAAATGTATGCACGTTAAAAATACGATGTTTTATTTATTAGAGGTCAGTCGGTCACCTTGTCATCTTCACAGAGCTGATGAAACAGTTCTGAAACCCAAACAGTGGCCATTTAATTCCTTTTCTCCTGCCAGTCATCACGGCATCTTGTAATAGTTTGTAGAGACAGTAGAATTTTATTAAATTCAAAACTTTAAAAGTGTTGTGAAAGCCTCCATCTTTCCCGATTGTAAACACCTCCCTGCGGGCGGGCGGGATCTTCAGCCTTGCGTACCGTCGTTTACACCTGCGAATGAACAGTCGCTGTATTTAATTTGAGTGTAAATCGCGCAGTTTTGTCGGAAATTCAGTAGAGTGAGTACACGATGCTTTAAAATATTCGAGTAGTTTCTGGGATTTTAGAATATTTTCCAAGTTTTTGGCCGTTTGAAAGAAAACCGCTTCGAATGAGCGTTGCGTGTCTTGATAAGTTAAATACTCATAAATTGTGATTAAAGGCTTTTGAATGTATTTAGGAAATCCTGTACTTGACTTGAAGTCAAGTAAGACCTACACGACATATTTTATTCATGAGGTTCCTGAAATACGATTTGCAGAATTTTCAGTGATGTTATGAAATATATAGTTCTATCATATTATCAAGGCAAGAAAATACAGTAACTACATGGCTCATAAGTCAAATACCCGATCGTTAGGATGAAGGATGAAGTTGATTCTCATGTAACAATATAATAACACATCATGAAATTGCTTTATTTATCAAATCATGCATGTCATGTGGCCAATAACACAAGTAGGTATATACTACATTGAAGAGAGGTTGTTACAGCCTGTATACATGCACACGTTGTTACAGGTCTGCGAACAAGTTGCAACAAATCTGTTCACAAGCTGTCAACTGAGTTGTGTTCGCACTGCTTGTTCCCAGTTGTTGTAACAAGTTTGGAACAAGCTGTTAACAACTTGTAACAACTGAAGCTTGATGACATTACCAGACTTCTAACAAGTCTGATACAGTCATGGTATAACAAGAATGTTGCAACGTTGATGACACAAGGTTGTCTCGTTCGTCACTCGAAATAAGCTATAGTGTTGTCTTGCGTTGTGTTAACTTGTCTACGACGATAACGAGATCTAATGTAGCGTAGGTTCTTTCGATAGAATCAAGGACGATCTACACCATAGTTTGAATATGTATTATTTACACTAACACAAGCTCAAAAGCCAGTGCGAAAACTATATACAACAAAAGGTGATTATCAAATTATCCTGAATGTCCCAGTTATCCTAGTGCAAGTGTAATTCTATCCTAGTTCAATTAACTAACCGTGTTCGATATAAGATATTAATAATGAACTGTTTATATTAGAATGCGTGCAAGATATCTATAATGTTCAAAGTACTGTCAATTCTCGACATCCTCCGGGGGGCGCGAGAGTATGGATGTCCACTGTTTCAATTTCTCCTTTGCCAATCGTGCTTTTGCTCGAACAGGTCTGCTTGACGTTTGATCTATGACGTCAGCTGGGTGAGGATTTGTTGAGGGATTCTTTGCGTCTAGGTTTTCGTCAATGGTGATCTTTGGGTTCTCTGTTGTTGTGGATTTAACTTCGAGTGGGTAAAGTTTAGTTACTGGTCTGTTTGTATGTCCAGTACTTGTTTTGATATTTGCTGCCCGTACTAGTCCGTCTTTTCCCTTGATTAAACTTTGTACAACAGCAAGTCTCCAGTTAACACGTTTCGTGTCATCGTGTACTTGAACGACATCACCAACACGTATCTCGGTTGAATTGTTTCCAGTGGTTTTATGAAATTCCCGTAAGCTTGTCAGATATTCTTGACGCCAACGTTTCCAAAAGTGTTGTATTAGGTGTGTTCTCAATTTTGCTTGGACATCAATGTTACTAGGTTCGGATTCATAGATAGGATCACGAAACTCGTCGTCTTCGTAAAGGGGGTGGGGTAAGGTGGTAATTCTCCGGCCATACAGTAGATGGGATGGTGTTAATGGTTCTGTGTCGTCTAGTTCTGATGATACGTAGGTTAACGGGCGGTCATTGAGGATTGCTTCCGTTTCGGAGGAAATTGTTTGGAGCTCTTCTAAAGTGACATTCGCCTTCCCGAGAACCTTTTTCAAGGAGTTTTTTGTCAGACCAATTAATCTTTCCCAGAAACCACCGTACCATGGTGCTCGTTTTGGGATAAATTTCCACTGGATTCCTCGTTTACTGAGATTGGTTTCCAACTCTGTTGAATTGAATAGTAGGGTCAACTCTTCCGCGGCAGATTGGTACGTTGATGCATTGTCTGACACCATAATTTTTGGTAAGGACTTGCGGCTTGCGAATCTTCGAAAGGCAGACATGAAGGTCGGAACAGTTAAATTTGTGACTACTTCGAGGTGGACTGCGCGTGTGTTTGCACAGGTGAACAAGCAGATGTAGACCTTTTCTTGTCCACGTGGCGTTTTGACGTAGATGGCCCCGGTGAAGTCTACACTGGTGACGGTAAATGGGTGGGAGTCAGTCATTCTATAGAATGGAAGTGGAGGTGGGTCAGGGGCATTGTATGGTGTTCCGAAGACCTTTCGACACGTTACACATTTGCGAAGTATTTTCTTGATGTACTGGCGAGCTGTTGGAATCCAATACTTCTGGCGTATTTGTGTCAGGGTTTGGTTTAATCCAGCGTGTTGTAGTTTCTCGTGTGCGTCGTTGACAACCAGCAAGGTGAAATGGTGGTTTGGGGGTAACAGTATGGGAAACTTTGCTGAATGTTCCACTGGTGCATTGTGAATTCTGCCACCACAACGAATGATGTTGTCTTCCAGAGTAAACAGGCGAAGTTGACGTACAAGGGGTAGACGAGAGATTTTCGGCTTTTGTATGTTGGCAAGTTCGTTACCGTAGGCGTCGTTTTGGATTTCCCGTATCCAAACATTTCTCGCGTTTTCAACTTCGTGGACCTTTAGTGGTTTTC